CCACCCCCCACCCTCCTCCCCTACCGGTGTTATAAGTCTTTTACTTCGAGTTTTGTCTATCTACAAGTGCGATTTAGTCGTAGATTTAAAAAAAAGAACCCTCGGGGACACAAGATTGTAAAATTGGTAATCTTTCAAAGCACTAGGATTATTTTGTTGGTGATCAGGTTTAACAAGCCGACAGGTTGTATTTCTATAAACGAGACCATGAGTCATCGCGTTATTACGTTCGAACAAAGACAACACATACAAACACCCTCTGTCATTATCTTATTTTGATTTTGTTTACGAGTCTTTGAATAGGAAGGAAGTAAAGAGTCCAACAAATAACCAAAGTATGCCTTCAGTTGAACTGTGAGCGTTGTATGATTGGTCTATTAGGATACACATTGGCTTGATGTAGACCAGTGCTTTGTTCTGCTCAAAGATTTGGCCTGGATAAAAAAAAAAATGTATCTGTGGTACAAATTGTTTTTATATACACAATGAAAGTAAAGAGTTTAACACAACAACAGAGTTATACTGTCAGGTGTACAGGGGGTGTGGTAGGACTGTCCTGAACACAATTATTTGTTGGTAATTATGCTTCATATTTTTTCTTTGTAGACCATTGCTTTGTTCTTTGGTAATACTTGTTTTGGTGTAGACATTAGCTTTATTCTGTGGTTGATATCGTGGCCAAGTCTGATAATTTATGGGGTTTTTTGTTCTTTGTAAACGCCAACGTCATACGAACAAGTAGTGACCAGACGATGAGGCCACACAAGGGCTACTGTAAAGAGGCCACACAAGGGCTACTGTAAAGAGTTATCTCAATGAAATGACATAACCTGGACACAGTAGCTTGACACTCAACTGTTCCGATTCTTAAAACTAATTTTCAGCTTGAAAAATATCTTATTAAACTGAAGTCGAAAGACAGACACATTATTCTAAAGTTTAGAACTTTAGAACCTAATGGAAGATGGATCGGCTTATCCCGAAACAATAGAAACTGGAAGATGGGTCGGCTTATCCCGAAACAATAGAAACTGGAAAATGGGTTGGCTTATCCCGAAACAATAGAAACTGGAAAATGGGTCGGCTTATCCCGAAACAATAGAAACTGGAAGATGGGTCGGCTTATCCTGAAAACCCCCAGAACTTGACTTGTAATCTTTGTTTTGTCGGTATTGGAGATGAGTTCCACTATTTGTATCAGTTGAACAAATTAGACAATTATAAATATCAAAATAGTAATATACTCTCCTAAGCCTTATGAAAATGTAAGTGTTTCTTTAAAATACTGGTAAGTTCCTAGAAAGACTAGAAAACTGCTGAATATATAGGTACATGATTGGTGATCTTTGAATGTTTTGTTGTCCGCCATATACAATGAATGATATACAAACATGACCTGTTATAACATACTTTGTATGTCTTGAAAATCCGTTTTGACGTGTGCCCAGGGAACACACCGCCTAAAAGACAGGTATTGTCCTGTATTGTATGTGCCGGTGACAATTTTTGTCTTGCTTTAAATCTTACTTTCACCAACAAAAGTAACATTGACTATCGAATACGTATGAATGTTTCAGTTAAACATTGTTTTGGGTTGTTTAAAGTTGTTCACACGGAATGTGTTCTAAACACACATTAATGTACGCCATTGTTTAATTTTGGACACACGCTAAAGTGTTACCTGCATATTTAAAATCCTACTTATATTTCATACATGTATAAAATGTCTTTGTCCCCTAAAACTTCAGATGTTCCCATGCTGGCAATAATAGAACTAGCTCATAGTCACGGAACATAACACCTTTGTATGCCATAATCACACAATCTACCAAGCTTTAGAAACAACCTGCCGAAGGCATGTGGACCAAACGACCTTTGTATTTAGTCCATATCTATTTACAAAAATATATAAACGATCGATTGCGATGTTCCACTGATAAACCTTTTTCTATCTGTTATCTTGTCAAGTGATGGAGTGGGAATGTTACGTAGTCATTGACTAGTTTTGCCTGTCGTAAATCACTCTCGGAGGAACTACCGCAATAGTATCAAGATATCTAACAATGGTAGATAGGACTGTTGATAGAAAAATTCAGACTGACCAAGTTCCAGCAGTTGGGACTCGTCCTTGTCCGCCGATCTGGGGTCAATACCCGATTTAAACAAAGTTTCCGAAACTTTCATAATTTGTTATAAGACCATTTTCTCTCGTGCTTTTTATGTTATTCAACAAGTATCAAGATGGTTTCGGTAAGCTGACGACAAAGGTTGTGGCATACATAAATGTATTTCAAAATGTACATTTTCCAATTTTTCTATGGCAATCTTACATAAAGGTAATGGTACAAATGATGTCAATTGTCCATAGTGTCAAATCAGCTTCACCCATGTATAGCTGGAGTGAGATTGCTGACACGATCCCCAGCGTGGGAAAGTATTCTGTTCACTTCTAACTTTCTATTACAAATTAGTTGCCGTTGACCCTCCCCGCTCGCGGTAGTGGAGAACTCTTATCGGGAAATGAATGAACCTGTTTGTACCTTCGAGGCCAAAGACATGGAAATGGGTAATAGTGGTAAGGAAGTGCATTGCAGTGTATTAAATGTCAAAATCGCCTTACTAGCATAGGATAGAGGATGAAGCAGTAGTGTTTCTATGGAGTGTCGGGGTCAGTCGTTCGAACCCCAGCGAGGACACAGTTTCTCTTCACTGATTCCTTCCTACAAATATTAGTAAAAAAAGTGTTCTTTTTTTCTACAGTTATGAAATCCGAATAGTGTGACCTGCCACACATTTTTCTTATGACGACACATAAGATTTTCATTTGCATAAAATTAAGTTTCAAATCCCTTTGGTTGAACAGTAGCTTATTTGATGGTCACATGTACACAACCGCTTTGGAGATTGAGGCATTGCATTATCACATTTTAGATCTTCGATGTTCACCCACATCTATAATAGGTATAATAGAGTACACATTTATCATACATATATGTTTTATGAGACATACATCAATAAGTTATGCATCAATACATTTCTATTTTATGGTTTTATCCGCGTCAATGCACCTCAATAGGTAAATAGCGAACCGGCTTTCCATTGACTTCCCGTTTGATATGGAGGGATGGGATCTTGACTTCCCAGTGTGACCCCCCACCCCCGTGATGGGGGGATCTGTTGTTCGTCTCCGCGCTTTATTGTCCTTTTTCATATCAGCTATAAATGCTCATACGCTAGCTCATCTCGACCAAGTGGGCCTTCCTTTCATCCTCACGAACACACCACATACGTATAGAACTATATAGGCACTGGGTGTGTAAGGTTTAGGAGCATCAGAGCGAAGCCATATAGAAATTGGGCTAATCCATCATACAACTTTTTTCAGATTATTTTTCACATGTATTACATGCATATTTACCTGTAAAAGACGTATCATGTATACCTGAGTCCACATACTCGGGCTTAGAATTGTCGTCATCTGATACAGCGCAGGACTGAGACACAATTCAACAAATAAA